GTCCTGCCAGGAGGGCAGGGGACTGGACTTGATGACCTCTCGAGGTCCCTTCCAGTCCTAGTGTTCTATGATTCTATGATTCAGTGACTCCATTGTCAAGTGGCAGTGAAGGCTGAGGACACTCAGTCCTGTGCAGAAGGGGCCCTACACACTGAATCCCAAGCTACTGCAACTCAAGATGGAAAAAGCCATTTGTGTCATGGAGTCCATCCTCCCATATTGATGGCTCCTGCACTTTCCAGCTCTCCAAGCTTGTCCTAGGCCTGACTTTCTTAGCTCATCCTGCTCAGGGCACTGCACTGCCTGCGCTCCAAGCTTGTCCTAGGCCTGACTTTCCTAACTCATTCTGCTCAGGGCACTGCACTGCCTACCGGGAACAATCACTCACTAGGCAGAAAGCTGCTTGACTGTTTTCATAAACTTGGAGTGTTGCAGAGCTGCCTATTTTTAATCCTCACCTCAACTCCTTCCACTCATCAGCATTTCCCTCTTGCAGCTGCAGCCGATACCGAAGCCCTGCTTGTACACGGGGTCACTGACCTTCCTCTCCGCCGGGCCAGCCTTATTATTAAAAACTCTGGTCAAGTGGCTGTCCTGGGCATGGCCAAACTGAACGCCTCCGTGTCTGGACAGCTTCTCCCTGCGCCAGGGCTCAAAGGCTAAAGGCTCCGCTTTGTAGGCTGGCTAATGAGAGCTGCCTTGGCCTCCCGGGCTTTCCTGTATTACCACTGCTTTCCCCTCCTGCCATCTGCGAGCCTTTATTTTCAACCCTGCACAGGTTTCCCCGGGAGCCAAAGTGACTCAGAGATGCTGCTCTCGCTTGCCTGCTGCTTTCCCAGGCATGTTTTAACCTCTGATCAGTCCAGGAAGAGGGTTTTGTGTATGTCCATCCAGAATACCTCTGGCAAGCTCCCTTCCCGGCAAACAGAGAACGGAGAGACTAGAGCGCTGCTGCGCCTGCTGCTGTCCTCTCTTCAGTAACAGTATCTTGCACTGCTAGAGCACCTCTCCTGCCGAAGCATTTTACAAACGGTATCAAGGGATTTCTTCGCTCACTGCTGAAATCTGTCTGCTTCCTTAATGGAGGGGGTGTGACAGCTGGTTAGCACAGCTGTACGCTGCAGATCAACATGAACCACTTCAGCCTTTGCTGAAGTGCAGCCACCTCTGCAGTGGAACCTTTATATGCACACCTTTATATGCAGAATGCCATGGTATCCAATTGAGTGTATGGGGTGGGATGTCATTACCCCACTGGAATCTGGTATGGGCTAGCAAGCCTGTGCTTGAGAGAAACCCTGTGGGATTTGTACTGACGTCAAGTCGTCAGGGCCTTGGTTTTATGTCTGACATGAAGGCTGGCACCTCTGGCCGCACAGTGCCTCCGTAGCGCCGTGCTGAGCCTCCGCTTCTGTGCCCATCCACAAGAAAGAACATCGCTTATGGAATTAGCACTGCCACTTTTTAAAGCCACTGGGAGATCTCCAACTAAGGGCTGACAAGGCCCCACCCTGCTTTGCACAATTGCTGACCTTAGGCCACAGCTCTCTGACCTGCTTGGCTAACTCCTAGATAATCCAGCTTCCTAACTGCATGATAGTGGGAACCATCTTTAAGAATGCATATTGACATTAAAAACCTTATGTACCTATTAAATGAACTCATTAAATTTAATAGGATGGTTATTGCACGTTAAATAAATACCAACTAATTATGAAAAACATATTTGCCAAGGTTTAACTATGGAATAGATGCATCAATTACATGGTTATTGAACCTCAAAAATATACACTTTTAATAATAGTGACATTTAAATAACATACATTAACCGTCTTATTAAATGTTGATTCTGTTCATATTTGAGGACTTGAATTTAGAGCATTTACCCTCTCCAGTGTGCCTTGAACTGACTGTACATGCATCATTAATTATCTTCTCACTCATCATTTTATAAACTTTCTTTTTTTAAAACACAAAGAAGCAACTCATAGGCTGAACTGGCTTAAAAACAATCCAGTTCTCCCATTTTGAGAAGGCACCTGTCTAGGTATGTATGGAAAGATGGAACAGCTGGGGCTGATTCTCCATTGGCCTGCTGCTTGGGTACTTACACCAGTGCAAAGGGAGTCAAAATGTTAGTTTAAAATGATCTCTCTGTTTCTGCAAAATCAGTTATGTTTGCAAGGAGCATCCAGCAAACTGGTGATGGGAAAGAAGCCGAGGTTAGTTAAGGGTCCAGGACTGGATGTCAGGATGATTTAGGTTAATTTCTGTCTCCGCAAGTCTTGCTGTATGACCTTGGGGAGGTGGGATTCTTTAAGTTGTAAAGCACCTCAAAGTCCTTGCATGGGAATTGCTAGGGAGGCAGGTGGGGTTCAGATCCCATTTCTTAAGATTTCATTAAGACCACTGGTAGCATGCTGTAAAGTCCTCTACTGCCTCCCAAGCAGTGCACACCAAGCTTCCTCTCCAATGGTTCAAACCCCCTCTACCATCTCCTCTCCCGCAATTCATCATGCACACCAGCTCTCACAATCATGCCCCGTGCAATCTGGCTTGGACTATATTATCTGCACTCTGTCAACTGCTCAAGAGCACAGACTTCTTAATTGTTTGGCACAGGCCTCATCGTATGATGCCACGTACGCTTCTGGCTCTATATAAATGATCATGTTAATCTATTGCAAGAAGCAAAACATAGGGCTCTCTTAGGATATGGAGCAGAGACTAATTTCTATTAATGGCCATCGTCTGCTTGAGGGAGGATGTTGAATGCCAGAAGATTCACTTGTTGGTTTCCTTAGTGTGTTCAGATAGGCAATATCTTCTTGGTTCTGGCCTTTCCTTGAGTTACTCTGAGCCCTGCTACAGGGTGAAGGACCCTTCAGTGTGGTGCTCTGCTCTGCTGTGCAAATGAGAAGGCCTGAGATGGAGAAGGGAAAAGAGCCCTTCATTGCTGGTCATTAGAAATCACCCATGCTCAGGAGTTTGGTGCTGGGATTACATTGTTCTTAGTAAGTGCAATTTGACAGGGGTGAGTCCTACCTACTGAGACCTATTGTCCTCAAGGGCCTTGTTCAGGGCTTCTTTCTAACCTTGCTTACCAGTTTACCCCCTTGACCTGGCTGTGCAATTGCATATGGGTCAAGGTTGAGACTTTCAAGTGGGATGAGTGTTTCGGGGTGTGTTGATTTTCAGGTGCCCAACCTGGGACACTTTTAAAGGGCTTGGTTTGCAGAAAGGGCAAAGTGCAAAAACTGGTCAATTTGGGCTGAATATTTTCACCTGCTTTTGATGGAAGCAGTGGGTCCAAATTTTCATTAAATCTTCACAAACGTTCTGTCCTGTCTTTCCACTGGCTGTGCTGAGCATGTGTCCTCTTCATGTCAGGCAACTGCACGGGAGTCAGGCTAATCACTAATCCCTTAGTCGCTAATCGCTATTGAAAATCTTGCCTGGGGGCAGTATTCCCTCTAATCTTTTCCAGCCATGTGCAGATTTTTTCCATCCATGTGTGAAATAATTTTTATGTGCACTGGGGCATGTGCTGAATGTGTACCACTAGGGGCAACAAAGCCTAGCTGTGGACATGCCACTGATCAGTTGGGCGGCATTTGAATCTCTTCTGAGCAGCTGTACAAGCGCCCAGCTGCCAGGGAACCTAACTGCGTATGGGTTTCCATTTTGCTAGAGCATAAGAAATTGATGCTTTGATTGTGGCAGGTGATCGGGGAGCACTCAGAGAGGGGCAGCATCATGGGGCATGTGCCTGGTAACCGTAGTTGGGGAGGCAAAGCAGGGTGTAAGCTAAACAGGGGGCATCAGGTAACACAAGCAAGGGGCTTGCAGACCTGCTTCTGCTGAATGGATGTATTGATGCCGTACAGATCAGGATATGAGTTAGAAACCATTCTCCTAGAATCAATGAAAGGGCCTGCTGGTAACATCAACCCCTCTTGTAGTTAAGGTTTCTCCTCTCCTGGGCCTCTCCCCATTCTTCTCATACACCCCCATCCTTCCCTCTTAGCTCTTAGTCTCCTCATCCACCTAGAAAAGGCCAGCTCTGTGCTGGAACGCAGAATCCCGAGCACAAGCAGACAGTTCTGCTTAGCTTTCTGGGAAACAGACCTGCCCTGGATGCCATGCAAACCAGCCATCATTTACATTATGTCAGAGAGCCAAGATGTATCATCTCCTGGACCCACTAGTTAATGTTTCCTGCATCCGCACTAAGGTAGATAATCTGTATTTGGGAGGTCTCAGTGGATGGCAGTATACATAGAAGCACTTAATTAATAATGGAAAAGTTAAGTCACTGGGGCTGGTAGTGGAGGGGCTTTCAGCTTTTCTGTGCTCCTCCCTGTACCAACCCCACAGAGCCTGTGATGGCAAAGATAGAAAGAAGAGTGAGACTCACCCATTTGGAATTAGAGGGACAGAAACTCAGGGTAAGCTCTGGGAGACAGGTGCACAAAAAAAAAATTAGTTTGGAGTGGCTTGAAGTAAATACTGAGGCAGGAACCTCCTGAGCTCCTGTCCAAACTTTGACACAGAGTCCGTCCATGGCTCAGATAAGTCACTTAATCATTCTGTGCCTCAGTTTCCCAGCCTGCAAAATGGGAATAATATTGACCAACTTCACAGGTGCCTTGGGACTATTCAGGAGAGGGCTACGTCCTGCTCTGATTCATCCTGGTAGAAATCCACTGAGGCAGGCACTGCACATTTTTATTGGGGTAACAATGTGTGGAAACTGGCCCACTGAAGGCAAAATGCTTTGACCAAATAAATTGTGATAGAAACCAAAGTGGGTTCAAGCTGCAAAATTCAGACTTGGAGTTGGAACTGGAACAACTCAAAGGGGCGGGATTGGATCCAGTCTGATTCTGACCTATATGTAATGGGGATGCTGATTTTCAAAGACTAACCAGAAAGGGACTGTCAGACCAAGATGATCTCCCAAGTAACCTATACCCTCCATGCCCGTTTTCGTCATGTACCATTTTGTTTCCCAGCCATCAAAGATCTTCTGTATGCTGCTCAGGGCACTCACTCTTCTCCCTCCCACCTCCCCCAGCCTCTCCTACCCAGTGATCCTGCAGTGACATCATAATGCTGTATTTACAACATCACAGCCATTCATGTGGCACCGTGCGGTGCTGTTGTAAGGGCAGGACAAGGTCTTTGTTGCAGACTCCTCTGGCACTGGTTGAAGCACAAGTCCCTTTGATGACAAGCTGTGGGAGCACCGAATATTCAGCTGGGTTGTCCTTGCTGCTGTGCTTTTTAAATCCTGACACCAGACGTGCTTGATGGCGCTTTTCTAACAATGGAAGTGGCAGGAGCCAGCGTTTCTCTACAGTCCTTATCCAGGAAGCTACATGTCCTAGGGCGCACAGTGATGGCCAGCAATGTATGGGAATAATCTACACTCAGCCACAGAACCTAGCTCTGCCTTACCTGCCCTTCACACCTGTCAGGCCCATGACTGCTAGAGAGGAAGCTGGGCCAGCGTTAGCAGTGAGCAGTTGTGTGGATAGGCTTAAAAACTGCCACATCCACCCCCGTCATCCCCTCCCTCCTAGGAAAGGATTGGTAAAGCCTCTGTGGCCAGTCACCCTGATGCTGCAGGAATTGCCTGTGTATATGCTGCTCAGGACCCTTATCAGCTGACGACTTGTGCCTCTGACATGTGACAGCAGGCGACTTCTGGACGGTATGTTTTAACACGTAACTGTGGCTTAGCTGTTGTGAAGCATCACCTAGTAAGGAAGCAGGGATCAGGGAGGGGGAGAAATAATGGTGGTGTAATGAATTTGTAAATTACAGCCGACTTCTATAATTAAACATTCTGTCCACACACTAGCACAGAATAAACTTGTCATCAGTATGACTCTGCTGAGCAGTACAGCCAGGCAATGGGGCTGATGCTTGTGCTTGAAGTCTGATCTAGAGAGAAAATTTTGGCTTATGGTTCCTGTAGAAGAGAGAGATATGCAGCTCACACAGAGGTGTGTGTACCTGCATAGAAACTGGAGCAACATGTAGCGGGGGCTAGAAGAGTCTGTAACACCCCCTGAAGTTTGAACTTCAGGTCTTCTTAAAGCATATGCCCTAGCTCCAGAGGCAGCTCTTAGTTGTACCAGAGCTTGTGCTGTTCCCAGCTTTGCCTTTGGGACAGGGGGTATGTCTACACTACCCTCCTAGTTCGAACTAGGAGGGTAATGTAGGCATACCGCACTTGCAAATGAAGCCCGGGATTTGAATTTCCCGGGCTTTATTTGCATAAGCGGGGAGCCGCCATTTTTAAAACCCCGCTGGTTCAAACCCCGTGCAGCGCGGCTAGTTCGAACTAGCGGGGTAGTGTAGACATACCCAGGGAGTTTGTTTATAAACAGAAGGAGGCAGGTGATTAAGATAAGAAAGGGCTGGTCATTCAAGTAATTGAAGGATCCTTAGAGGATCCTGAAAACATTGCCAGGTACTACACCTAAAAGATAGGGAAAAAGAGGAGGAATAAATACTGGTGTTCTCTAGGGGTCTGCATTGGGACCAGTGCTATTCTTACTTATAACTGGTCTTGAAAAGGGGGTAAACAGTGGGGTGGCAAAATATGAAGTTGATACAAAGTTACTCAAACAAATTAACTCCAAAGCTGACTGCAAAGAGTTACAAAGGGATCTCACCAAACTGGGTGACTGGGCAACATAATGACAGATGGAAAAGAATGTTGATAGATGCAAAGTAATGCAGATAGAAAAATATAAATGTAACTATACATACAAAACGATGGGGGTCTAAATTAGTTGTTACCACTCAAGAAGGTGTTCTTGGACTCATTTGTGGAAAGTTCCCTGAAAACATCTGCTCGATGTGGAGTGTCAATCTAAAAAGCTAACAGAATATTGGGGCGCATTAAGAAAGGAGTAGATAAGACAGAAAATATCATTTGACCTCTATATAAAGACATGGCATGCCCACATCTTGAACACTGCATGGATATCTGGTTGCCCCCACCTAAAAAAGATGTATTAGATTTAGAAAAGTTACAGAGAAGGGCAAAATAAATGATTGGGGTAAGGAACAGCATCCATATGAGTAGAGATTAAAAAGACTGGGACTTTTCAGTTTGGAAAAGAAATGACTAAAGAGTGGTGGGAAATGTTAAAAGTCTAGAAAACCATGAATGATGAATAAGGAAATGGCATTTACTCAGGGGTGGCCCTAGACTAGCTGCCAGCAACTGGCGCCCTAGGCAAACCATGCAATCGGCGCCCCCACCTCCAAACCCCTCAACGATATTGCGCCACCATTTGGCGCCCCATTTAACTTGGCACTTTAGGCGACCGCCTAGTTCGCCTATATGGACGGGCCGCCCCTGCATTTACTCCTTCACTGCCATAACACAAGAAGGTCACTCAATGAAATTTATAGGCAGCAGGTTTAAAACAAAAGAAATTATTTCTTCACAGTCAATCTGTGGAACTCTTTGTGGGATGGTGGAAAGCCCCAAACTATAACAGGGTTCCAATAAGAATGAAATAAGTTCAAGGAAGATCAGTCCATCAATGGCTACTAGCCAGGACGGAAGGTATGGTGTCCCTAGCCCATTTGCCAGAAGCTAGGAATGGGTGACAGAGGCTAGATCCTTTGATGTTTTCCTCTTCTGTTCATTCCTTGTGAAGCACCTGGCATTGGCCACTGTTGGCAGACAGGATACTGAGCTAGATGAGCCATTGGTCTCACCCAGTATGGCCATTCTGATATTCTTCTATAGAACCCAAATGCAAGCCAGTAGACCCCCTCCCAGAGCTGATATAGAGCCCAAGAGTCTGAACAGTCTCTCTGCCCCCCTCTCCTGCAGAGTTAGTAACAAAGTAAGACTAGACATTAACATTTTAAGCCTAACCAGTGTCCCTTAAGTGACTTGCCACAAGATGTCAGAACATGTTAGTATTAGAACGGAGTGGGTCCAATGTTTATGTAGTGTTCTTTCTTTCGTATAGGAATTAGATTCAGTGCTCCTGCCAGCTAACTGCTAAGTTGTCTGCCAAAAAACTAGAGTTTTCAAGTGCCTTGGTAGCTCCTGCAAAGAGGTGATGTGTGTGTAGGAGGGTGGACCATGTCAGTCCTCCCATCCCCTCCCCTCCTCCTGATTTGCTGCTTGACAAGCACTGAGCATGCTCAGTAACATTGCTGAAACTGCCGTCCTTAGTCTGCCCCCTGTGCCCTCACTCTGACCCCTGCATTGCAGCATGCACAGGTTGTGCTCCCAGTCAAAATCTGAAGAGCAAATGCACATCCATCACCCTTGTAACTATCTGATCTCTCTCTACCCATTGCAGTAGCTAGGTGCCTAGCGCTGGCGTTTGAAACTCGGATATGTCCCTGGTTGGGGGCATGTTCTCTGCTCATCCTCAGGAGAATTGCAGGCTTGAGGGAAATCTAAAGCTGGCGTGATTCACACCTTCTCTGGCCCCTAGACTTAGATCTACACCACAAAGACAAACCTGTAGCTGGCCCATGTCAGCTGACTCAGACTTGTGGGGTTTGGGCTACAGGGCTGTTTCATTGCAGTTTAAACTCCCGCCCACCTCGCAGGGCCTTAGAGCTCACGCTCCAGCCCAAGCCCACAAGTTTACACAGTATGAAACAGTCCTGCAAGCCCCAGTCAGCTGGCACAGGCCTGCTGCATGTGTCTAGTTCACTGGTCACCAACCAGTAGTTCAGGATCTACTGGTAGACCTGGAGCCTCTGACACGTGTTCTGGACTGGTTTGGCTGGGAGGCCACTTCTGCTGTCTATCCCCACACTGTGGTGCTTCTCCTACCCGCTGCCTTGGAGCTGCCCTCGAGGAGACTCCTACTGGATGTGCAGGGTTGGGGAGGCAGAGGATGGAGATGCTGATTTCAGGGTGTCCCCCTCTCTTCACCCCCGTACTCCATCTTCACAGAGAGCGGAGACAACAGGACTCAGGATAGAGGGAGCTTGCTGGCAGCGACACCTATTTCTGAGTGTGCTCAGCATACTTCAAGAGTCCGACTGAGTCACTTGATTGGAATCAACATAAACAAGCACTCGAAGGAAAAAAAATGGTTACTCACCGACTCGTAACTGTTATTCTTCGAGCTGTGTTCTCCACATCCATTCCATTACTCACCTCCCTCTCTAGAGTAGTCGGCAAGAAGGAAATGGGGGTGGGTGAGTCGGGAGGGTGCTATATAGAGAACCATGGAGGCACGACTCTAGGGCATGCCTGGACTGACCTGATGGATACTGCTATGAGAAAATCTTGCAGCTACTGTGCACATGCGCATGTGCACCTGTTTGGAATGGACATGAACAACACATCTTGAAGAACAACAGCTGCGAGAAGGTGAGTAGCATTTTCACCAGGAGCTGGATATCCCAGTGCAGGCCCTGGATCTAGCCAGAGGGAAATGGAAGACGCACTAAGGAAAACCAGAGCTGAGCTTGAGTCAGGCCCTAGAGAAAAATCCTTGCAGGAAGCGTTCAGATCTGGGTGTCCTCATGGCCCAGACTGGACACTAAAGGCAACTGGTGTCTCAAGGCCTTCCCCTTCCTAGTCCATTCTCTCGTCACTGGCATAGGCTGGCAGGAAGCAAAGGGGCTGCTGTGATCTTGGCTGCATGGCAGAGAGCACAGAGGCAGGTGGCAGAAGGAGGGGGAGAAGGAAAAGGGAGGAAGATAGTGAGGGAGCCGTGCTGCCTTTACAGGAAGGAAATAGACTGATTGCGTTTCATGGTAAAACCACACACTCGCCTGCCATGGCCACCGCACTGTTCCTGTGCTAGCTGCATAATGGATCCATAAGAGTAGTTGGGAGGGGCTGAGGGGGAGCAGCTCTGACTCACGGTTTTGGCCATGTGGTACAATGCAAGATCAATTGTGTGATTGTACTGACTCGGGGGAAGGGGAAATTCATCTCTCGGCAGGTATCTCTGTACGGGACTAAGGGGGACAATTTGTGCCTCTGATATTCAGAGACTGCTGGGCACCAGAGCACCCCTGGCTTTTGCTAGTGGTATCCCCTGCTTT